TTATTTACCACATTAGGACTTAGTAAGGTACCTCAAATAAGTCCAAATATTATAGACAAAAAAAAACAAATGTCCATTACAGAGAACAAACGTACAGGGTGGTTCTCAGGAGGATACATCATCTTTTCATTTGTATGCTGTCTTTTTACTTAATTGTTTCCTGTCTTATTTCCACTGACTCTTTCTCATGTTTCACTTTTTGTGTCTCCTTGTGAAGTCAGTCTTGTCTGTTTACTAAGTTGTCTGTGTTGAGTTAGTGTGTTTGGTCTTTGTGTCCTGCTACTTCCTGTGTTTTTTTTTGTTTTGTTTTTTTTTTCTTGGTGAGCTCATGCCCCTTGTGTGTTGTCAAACTTTCCAGTGTTTTCTTCAACGTAGGTTTCAGTTCCCATTTTGTGGTTTTTTTGGGGGTTTTTTTGGGTATTTTTTTTCCCCTTTATTATACTATCTTTGCAATCAGTCTCAATAAAAGGCCTGTTTACCGTTAAGCTCAATTCTTGTTTGTCGTGTTTTCCTGGATCTTCACTCACTGAATCTGCACATCTTGCAGACTTTTGGCAGAAGTGGATAATTAAATTTTCATATTTCACACATTCTGCAACTTGTGGGGACCAAATGAAAGTCCAGAGTTTGTGGATGTTGCAGATTCACCACCACATTTGAACCTGTGCAACTAACCAAAGGAAAGGAAGATTGCCACAGGTCACCTGATAGGATGCAGGCTTTCTGCAAACAGTCACAGTCTGACTTGAACAGCAGTTGCTTTTAGAGAGATTGTCAAACATTTGTAAAGTAATTGCTGTCAACTGATAAAGAAAGACAGATTGCTAATATCTTGCCATCAGTCTGAATGAGTGTTTGAGCACCACTCATCCCAAGTCGCTGCCATTTGGTTGTATTGTGGTTTTATTCCTATAGTAGTGATCACCTAATGAAGCTTTCTGAAGCACTTATTAAGGGTTTGTTACTCAAAGATTTTCAACACAGTGATCTTTGGTGCCATCTGCTTGCCAAAAGTATGAAGATCAGATTGAGCCTACAAGTACTTCATTATGATTAACCACTCTACAGAGCTGAGTTGAGTGACTTCTTTACACTTGTAAACATAGATTAAAAAAAACAAACAAACCCATATGAAATAATGTAAAAAACACAATCTTATATTAGGTTGGGCATATGCTTGTACTGTGAGCTCCTGCCTCTACAAGCTTTTGTAATTAACCAATGGACAGCTTATATGTATACTGGATTTCTTATGTTGGCAGCACGGTAGCACGGTGGTTAGCACTGTTGCCGCACAGCAAGAAGGTCCTGAGTTCAA